AATAGATCATACACTATGAACAAGAGAGATTTATCCCTGGAATGCAAAATTGATTTAACATGTGAAACTCAACTGTGGAATACACCATATTATTAGAATAAAGAATAAAAACATGTAATCCTCTCAATGGATACTGACAAAACATTTGATAATACACTGTGGCCTTTTTTGTGTGTGTCAGATTCTCCCTATGTAGTATAGGCTAGCCTTGAACTTGCTTATGTAGCCGAGGCTGGCCTCCAAATCTGAGTGATCCTCCTGCTTCAGCTTCCCAAATGCTGGTATTACAGGCATGCACCACCACATTTGGCCACAGTGGCCTTTCATGATAAAAAAAAAAACACTGGGGAACCAAGAAAATTCCTCAACCAACACATTTACACATGGGAAACCCACGACTAACATAGTTACTATTGAAAAAAGGCTGAAAACTTCACTCTAAATCAGGAACAAGGATGCTTGCTTTTGCTGCTTTTATTCAACTTCATATTGGAAGTTCTAACCAGAGCAATTAGACAAGAAAAGAAAACTCATCCATCTTGGAAAGAAATAGGTAAACTATCTCTATTTGCACCTGAAATTATCTTGGATTAAAAAAAAAAACTACAAGGAATATACAACAAAATTTTTCCACGTGAGTAAACAGGTTTAGTATGATTTCAAGGTATAAGATCAATATATAAAAGTAAATTGCATTTTCATACACTAGCAATAAACCATTCAGAAATGAAACTAACACATTGATTCCATTTATAATGGCATCAAAAATAATAAAAAATTAGAAATATATTTATTAAAACAAGGACAAAATTACACTGGAAACTACAAAACATTATTTAAATATATTGAATAAAAAATAAATAGAAAGAGATCCAGTATTTACAAATGAGAGAACTAAATATTGTTAAGATGACAGTATTTCCCAAATTAATCTACAAATTTAATATAATTGCTATCAAAATCCCAGCTAGAATTATTGTGGGAATCAATACTCTGATCCTAAAATACATATGGCTATACAGGGTATCCAGAATGTCCAAAATAACCCTAAAAAAGAGACACAGCTATGGAGATCTTGTACTCCCAACTTCAAAATTTACTACCAAGCTAAAAGACAGTACAGTACTGATGTAAGACAGACATAAGGACCAGTGAAACAGGGGCTGGGGATTTAGTTCAGTGGCAAAAGCGCCTGCCTGGCAAGTGCAAGGTCGTGAGTTCAGTTCCCGGTACCGGAGAAAAACCAAAAAAAAAAAAAAAACCACAAAAGGACCAGTGAAACAGAATTGAGAGTCCTGTTGTAGACACATTTTTGTCCAGTTGATCAAGTAAGAGTGCCAAATCCTTGAAAACATAATCTTTCCAACAAGTGGTGCTTGAACAGCTGCAACAAGTGGGATCATTTTTCTACAGAAGTTAACTCACTCAGAATGAATCAAAGACCTAAATATACGAGCTACAACTCTCAGTCTCTTAGAAGAAAGATAACTGTAAGTCACTGTGAACTTGAATTAGGCTACTGGCTTTTGAGATATGACATAAATTACAAGCAGAAAAGAAAAAAACAGATAAAATTAAACATCACCAAAATTGAAAATTTTTGTTTCAAGACAGTTTGAAAGATAGGAGAAAATATTTTAAAATAATGTCTCTGAATGTGTACAGAACTCTTATACAGCAACAAAAAAATAAAAAATGGGCAAAGAACTTGAATAGCAATTTCTCCAAAGATAATATATGTAAGTGACCATAAAGAAGGTGAGAAGATGCTTCCCTATATTAGTCATCAGAGAGGAATATATTGGAGCCAGAGCAAGCCACACTGAGCACCCATTACTCTGTAGTCAGAGACACTGGCAGACACTGGCAGACACTGGAGTTGGCGAACACAGGAAGGAACAGAGCCCACAGACACAGCTGGTATCACCTGGATCTTTCACTGTCAAAAGCAGCATGCAGTGCCCCGAAATGTGAAACACAGCTTTGTGACCCAGGAATTCCACCCAGGGATTTACCTAAGAGAATAGAAACTATGGGCTGATAGAAAAACTGCCACGTGAATGTTTATAGCAACATTATTCGTAACAGCCCAATCCAAATGTCCATCACCTACTAAACAAATAAACAAAATGTAGCATGTGCCTGGATTATAATATTCTTCAGCTGTTAAAAGAATAAAGTAATGAAATATGCCACAGTGTGATGGACCTTCTCACTTACCATATGGAAAAGTCAGACTCAAAAGACTGTATGTCATTCCGTTTACATGAAATACCCATCACAGGCAAATCTGCTGGAGACAGGTTAGATAGGGAGAGGTGATTCCCAAGTGGTA